AAAAACGGTCGGAGTTTTTTTTTCTCATTATGCACTGCGTGCTCCAGGATTTTTTTTATGTGGTGCACACTGACCACACAGACCCATTTCTCCACATGTGGGCCTACTAGCTTTCTCCTGCCTGATTTGAAGCCCCTAGAATTTATGAGTATATATACGTCAAACACGGTTTCCTCGCAAACGTATATATACGGCCGCGACAGTCAAAGGGTTAAGGTAAGTAATGAGTGAACTGTATATACATTTTATCGCCTGGGATGCTTAAATATCATAGAATTGTATGTGTGGGTGGGGTGGCCTGGTAGGTAGCCTGGCTGACTACCATACATACCACACTTGATTTCTTACAATAAATACTACTTGTCTCACCCTAGATTAAGACTATAAATATTTTAAGGTAAGTAATGAGTGCACTATGTGTGTATTGTACTTGTTTATTGTTTTTTGATGCCTGGTTCTATTGCTAACTTAATATATGTTAGTGTAAACTTGTTATCTAGTGTTTGTATGCATTTGTAAGTGGAAAAAAAGGGTGTTCCACTTTACGGCGGTTTCTGCTTTACGGCGGTAGCCTGGAACCTAACCAGCCGTATAAGTGGGGCCCTACTGTATTTATGTGTACCTGTGAGACAGAGATAGACAGACAGAGAGAAAGAGAGAGACAGATTGATAGAGATAGAATGAGGGAGAAAGATAATTAGATAGAATGGAGGGGAAGCAGCATCCGACCCCATTGTTTTACAGGTGGAGTGGGATGCTTAATATAGAAATATGTCATTTTGGACAGCTGCCGACTCCTGACTCAAAACAATATAAGCCACACACTCGCACACCAAGACAAGCTTGTCTGAATGTGATATAGCAGTTTTAAGGAAAGTAATAGTGACTATATGTGTATTATTTTATTGACTGAAGCAAGAGTTACATGGCTAATTAAGGAAGGACTAGATGAATGGAAGGAAAAAGTAAGGAACGGCTTGATTCGAGGATATGTAGGAAGAAGAGGTTAATGCCCTCGAGGTACCTCCAGGTAGGAAAGGAATGAGGAAAAATTAGGAAGAGAAGGAATGATGAACAAGACCATTTACTAGGATAGACTACTAACACACACTGCTTGCTATACTGTGAAGAAAATGCTCAGACGAGTATTTGTCTTTGACCAATAAAAAAAAACTTCCACAAAAATGACACACGTTTAGTGTGAGGAGTGTAAAAACCATGTGTATGAACTACATGTTTTATGTGTAGGAGTGTATAAAACACCACTGATGTATGACACCATGTTTTATGATAGTGAGGATGTAAAACACCACTGTGTATGACACCATGTATGTATGTGTGAGAGAGATGTGAAAAGCACCTCAGGTAGACTCCAGTTTTATGTGTGAGGAGTGTAAAACACCACTGTGTATGACACCAGTTTATTTCTGAGGAGTGTAACACAACACACTGTTTGTATCTGTGAAAACCTAAGGTTTTTGTGTTTGCAGATAAAAAACAAACTTCTAAAAACACCATGTTTTATGTGTGAGGAGTGTAAAACACCATTGTGTATGACACCATGTTTTATGTGTGAGGAGTGTAAAACACCACTGTGTATGACACCATGTTTTATGTGTGAAGAGTGTAAAACACCACTGTGTATGACACCATGTTTTTATGTGTGAGGAGTGTAAAACACCACTGTGTATGACACCATGTTTTATGTGTGAGGAGTGTAAAACACCACTGTGTATGACACCATGTTTTATGTGTGAGGAGTGTAAAACACCACTGTGTATGACACCATGTTTCAAAGAGTTCCACAAGCTGCAGAACTTCTAGGAATATGTTCAGTGACTGTATATTGGTATATATATTATAGAACAATAGTAATAAACAATTTTTTGTATTGTTTGTTTTTGTAAACAAGTTTTGTAAACAATATATTGATAATTATGTTTGTGTGCTTATTGTGTTGTATACAACGAGTGTATATATGTACATTGCACCTTACTTTGGTCTCACAGGCCACATAAGTTATGTGAAAAAATAAAATAGTGAAAAAAACAACAAACCTTCAAATACAAGTAAACTAAAGTTTACCGGGTGAGCGGCAGCCGCCGCTGTTGCCATATGCGGCTCATTTTCTGCAAACTTCATGCCTCTATATCTGGGTAAGTACTGATGGGAAAATTTTTTTGGGGGGACTAAACCAATCAGAAAAATAATCTTAACATTTTCATAAGAAAAAATAATTTTTTTTTTTTCAAATATTTTGCGACACCAGGAGACACTTCAGGATTGGGCCTTTCGACAGTCAAAGGGTTAATGCAATAGAATAATTACAATAACAATAGATTAATAACAATAGAATAATTGACACTTACCTATAATGAAGATCTGGTGATGAATGATGGGATGGGAGGAGGGGAGTGTGTGGATGGTGTTAGTGTTTAGAAGGGGAATCCCCTTCCATTAGGAATTGAGGTATCAAGTCTTTTTCCGGGGTTACTTCCCTTCTTCTTTTAATGCCACTTGGACCAGCTTCAGAGTCACTGGACTTCTGTCGCACAACATATCTATCCATAGAGGTCTGTACCTCTCGTTCCTTTATGACTTTCCTAAAGTGTTTCACAACATTGTCAGTGTAATAGTCACCAGCACGGCTTGCAATAGCTGTCTGAGGGTGATTTTCATCCATAAAGGTTTGCACTTCAAGCCACTTTGCACATATTTCCTTAATCTTTGAAGTAGGCAACTTCTTCAATTTCTCTCTCCCCTCCTCCAAAGCAGTTTCCTCAGGTGTGGCCTCTTGCTGTTGAAGATGATCTAGCAGCTCATCAGTGGTTAGTTCGTCATTGTCCTCCTCCACCAACTCTTCCACATCCTCCCCACTAACCTCCAACCCCAAGGACTTCCCCAATGTGACAATGGATTCCTCAACTGGCATAGGATTCTCAGGGTTAGCCTCAAACCCTTCAAAATCCCTTTTGTCTACACATTGTGGCCACAGTTTTTTCCAAGCAGAGTTCAAGGTCCTCTTAGTCACTTCCTCCCTAGCTTTACCTATAAGGTTTATACAATTGAGGATATTAAAGTGATCCTTCCAAAACTCTCTTAGAGTCAGTTGAGTTTCTGTGGTCACTACAAAGCACTTTTGAAACATAGCTCAGTTTCTTGAAGTTGGAAATGACCTGTTGGTCCATGGGCTGCAGGAGAGGAGTGGTATTAGGAGGCAAAAACTTGACCTTAATGAAGCTCATGTCCCCATAAAGTCGCTCTGCCACGTCTGAAGGATGACCAGGAGCATTGTCTAATACCAGGAGGCAGTTAAGGTCTAATTTCTTTTCATTTAGGTAAATTTTCACAGTGGGGGCAAATGCATAGTGTAACCAGTCATAGAAAAAGTCCCTAGTGACCCATGCCTTACTCTTTGCCCTCCACAGCACACACAAATTAGTCACAAATTGCCTGAACACTCTGGGAGTTTCTGAGTGATACACCAATAGAGGCTTCACTTTGCAATCACCACTAGCATTGGCACACATCAGAAGAGTAAGCTTGTCTTTCATAGGCTTATGTCCTGGGAGTGCCTTTTCCTCCTGAGTAATGTAGGTCCTGCTTGGCAATTTCTTCCAAAACAGGCCTGTTTCATCACAATTAAACACTTGTTCAGGTTTCAATCCTTCAGCCTCTATGTACTCCTTGAATTTATGCACATATTTTTCAGCCGCTTTGTGGTCCGAACTGGTAGCCTCACCATGCCTTACCACACTGTGTATGCCACAACGATTCTTAAATCTTTCAAACCAACCTTTGCTGGCCTTAAATTTGCTCACATCACCACTAGTTGCAGGCAATTTCTTTACCAAATCATCATGCAACTGCCTAGCCTTTTCACAAATGATCGCTTGAGAGATGCTGTCTCCTGCTATCTGTTTTTCATTTATCCACACCAATAAGTCTCTCAACATCTTCTAACACTAGCGATCTCTGTTTCGAAAACAAAGTTGCACCTTTTGCAAGAACAGCTTCCTTGATTGTCGTTTTCCTGCTCACTGTAGTAGAGATGGTTGATTGGGGTTTACTACGCAACCTGGCCAGCTCCGACACACGCACTCCACTATCGTACTTTGCAATTATCTCTTTCTTCATTTCAATAGTCAATAGCACCTTCTTGAAGGGTTGGTACTAGAAGCTTTCTTGGGGCCCATGGTTACTTATTTTGCAGAAACAAGCACCAAAAACAGTGATAATATGGATAATTTGGAATGTACCGAATGTATCCTTAGATGTGCGCACACTGGCTGGCTTGTAAACACTGGCACACATGGGGCAGTTCAGGCCACACTTGGACATATCTCATACGAATCGTATCGAATAGCGGGTTTTCGATCGAATGTCAAGGCGAAATTTTTGCGTTAAAATGCATCGAATGTTGGATTTATCGAATGTCGATGCCATCGAATGTCGGGGGTCCACTGTACTACTGTACTTGCTCACCCATAGTTACTCTACCACAACCAATGCGTCCTTTACATACCCTGTGTCCATATACATGTATATGTTTTTTGTATTGGTTTGATTATGTCCCTGCTGAGCAGAATGTAACCTCCATAAATGTTCTTTTAGTGTCTCTTGTCCATATAACGCTGGGATTAAGACTTCTGTGCTGGTATATGGTAATCAGATATTAGTGATTCAATCTCCTTACTATGAGGATTAGGAATAAGAATTTCCTATTCATTTGCTATTGTGCACCCTCCATACCTTTCAGACATTTATTTTCTCGTTTTTTTCGGTGGCATACTTCCAGGGATGGCACAGCATATCTTCATCTCATATTTCTTCATTGTACATATATCACTTCATTCTTTACATCAGTGAGCATATAAATAAATAAATAAATTTGCCTGTTAGCAATAATTTACCATAACCAAGGTTATTATTTCCATGTTATTTATATAAAAATTGCATGTCTGACTGTGATATTGAGAATTCTCATTTTTTAATAACAGAGAGAATGACTGGGAAACTGTTAGGAGCTGAACACCAGTTAAGAGAGATGCAGCAAGAATATCAGAAGACATTGGCCCAGTTGCAGCAGATTGCAGAGAAAAATAAAATATTACAGGTTAGTAGAAAATCATATAAATAATATTACAGGTCACCTATACTTTATGTGAAGTCTCTGTGCAAATTGAACATTGTTCATTGTCTGGTATCTGTTGGTAATTCTGTAAATAAGATTAAACAGTTGCTGTATGAGATTGGTATGGTTTGCTAAGCAATTTAAAGGTTTATGTTACACTTAATTAGGTGTTTATGATCTGATTGACTTAACACAGATGCCAAAAAGCCTGGAACACATGAACTGTATAAAATGAGGTACATATTTGTTCACTTGACGAGGAAGTACAGTAAACCCTTGGTTTAACAGAGTAATGGGAGTGAGCAGGTGTCTGGTAAATTTAATTACACCTACCATCAGACTTACGACCGAGTTCGGTTCCGAGAAACCGGTCGTAAATCGAAATGGACGTAAGTCGAACTTTACTACTGAATATCAACACAACATTTTTGTAATGACTTTATTTTATTGTTTTATTTTGGTATTTCATGTTTTACTTTACTTTTTATGCTGTTAGTACTGTATTTTATACTGTAAGGTTTAGGATAAACACTGTGTACAACACAAACACTTGTTTATTTCCCAGAAATTTGGCATAAAAAACACGGTCGTAAGTTGAGTCGTCGTATGTCGAGCAGGTCATAAGTCGGATGGTAGGTGTATAATGGGCAGAGATGACTTTGTTGTGCTGCAAAAAGGTCATCTCAGTAACCAGTGGACATTGTTTCCGAATCAGTTGACCTAGTGAATCACTTAACCCAGTGGATCAGTTGACTCAGTGGGGCAATAAAAGTAGATTTTACAAACAATATGAATTTTTTCTGCTACATAGGTATTTACCCCATTAAAACTAGGGTTTTAACACCCTGTGACCCGACAATGCCTGAATGGATGGACAGGCAATTTTTAAACATTACTTATTTTCAGAAGGAAAATGAGCAGCTTCAAAAGGAAAATGAACAACTAACAATTCTTAATAAAAATATCGAACAGCGAGGACTTGCAGCAGAAAATGAGTCATTAAAAACCCAAATTGCACACTTAGAATCTGCTTTACAAGTAAGTATTTATTTGTTTTCAAAATTTATTTGAGATTTTTATGTGTTTAATTTTTCTCAAAATACATTAGAGGCATTACTTCAGTCATCATAGGCAGTTCCTACCTAACCATTATTCATGATACAGGTCTCCCTCAACATTCGCAAGGGTTAGGGGATCAAGAGCCTCGCGAATGTTGAAAAATTGCGAATGTTTGGTGCCCCAATATATTGTAGGGAAATATAATACAATACTGCTTCCTTAACTTGTTGAACCATGAACAATCATAAAATACATGAAAATGCCATAAATTATACTAAATATATACATGTTATACTTTAACCCTTTGAGGGTTTCGGCCGTACTAGTACGGCTTACGACCCAGGGTTTTTGACATACTAGTACGCCTAAATTCTAGCGCCCTCAAATCTAGTGGGAGAAAGCTGGTAGGCCTACATATGAAAGAATGGGTCTATATGGTCAGTGTGCACAGTATAAAAAAAATCCTGCAGCACACAGTGCATAATGAGAAAAAAAAACTTTGATCCTTTTTTGGAATAAAACAGCGACTTTGCACTGTATTTTCGTATGGTAGTTATTGTTGTATTCTAGTTTTCTTGGTCTCATTTTATAGAATGGAAGACTTGTTACGGAAATTGAGATGATTTTGACTGGTTTTACAATGAAAAGTACCTTGAAATTGAGCTCAAAATAGCAGAAATGTTCGATTTTTGCCAAAGTTCAAAAGTAAACAAATCATGCCAAGCGTCCAATACACGTCAACTGGTGAGTCTAATATTCTTTTGCAAGTGTGCCAATATTATTTATACCATTTTTTACACTAATGCAGTAGTCTGCATAACAGTAAATCTTCTATTTTTTGTGAGAATAAAAATTCAAAGTGGAAAGCAAAAGAATGTAAGAGGGGCCTTGGGACGTGACTAATGAACAGAGGAAATGTCATTTTAGTGCCAGGAATGTCTTTCTTGTTTATTCTGGACCCTATTCTGAAATAGGCATCTTTTCAAATTTGTGTGAAATTGGCAAAATTGCTAAATTCTGACCACTGTACTGGATAGTTGAAATTGGCAAATGGGTGGTTGCTTGCACTCATTCGATAGAAAAAATGGAGTTCTAGCGAAATATTCATGGTTTTTGTCGACTAGTACAGTGGATTTGGCTGAAAATAGGGCTCAAAGTGGGCAAAATTGCTGATGCGTAAACATCGCCGAGATCGCTAACTTCGCAAGAGCATAATTCCATAAGTTTTCCATCAAATTTCATACTTTTGGTGGCATTATGATCGGGAAAAGATTCTCAATCTTTTCATAGATTTTTTTTTTTTTTTTTTTTTTTTTTTTTTTTTTTTTTTTTTTTTTGAAATTTTGCCGACCCTGAGAACGAGTCTCGGAGAGGGCCTGTCGACCCTCAAAGGGTTAATAACATTCTTTCTTTCATTCTTTCAACACACTGGCCGTATCCCACCGAGGTGGGGTGGCCCAAAAGAAAAAACGAAAATTTCTCCTTTTACATTTAGTAATATATACAGGAGAAGGGGTTACTAGCCCCTTGCTCCTGGCATTTTAGTCGCCTCTTACAACACGCATGGCTTACGAGGAAGAATTCTGTTCCACTTCCCCATGGAGGTTAGAGGAAATAAACAGGAACAAGAACTAGTAAGAAAATAGAAGAAAACCCAGCGGGGTGTGTATATATATGCTTGTACATGTATGTGTATTATGACCTAAGTGTAAGTAGAAGTAGCAAGACGTACCTGAAACCTTGCATGTTTATGAGACAGAAAAATGGACACCAGCAGTCCTACCATCATGTAAAACAATTACAGGCTTTCGTTTTACACTCACTTGGCAGGACGGTAGTACCTCCCTGGGCGGTTGCTGTCTACCAACCTACTACCTAGACTTTAATAACATGTATGTTATTAAATACCACTGCCTCCAAAACTGCCTCCACCAATGCCTCCACCACTTCCTCAACCACTGCGAGTTCCTACTACCCTCCCTCCGAGCCCCGCAACTGGCAGCCAGGCCTCCCACCACTGTGTGGTGAGTGTTTTGTTTGTTCATTATTTGCTGTTAAACTGCAGTATAAATAATGTAAACCCATTCATGACTGCATATTGAAATGGCTATTCGGACAGGTATTGGACAGTGACATCATGTGTTTACTCGTGAACACAGCAAAGAATCAAACATTTCTGCTACTTCTAATAATAATAATAGTAATAATAATAATAATAATGAATACCATAGAATTGAAGAAGGAAATTGTACAAAAACACGAGAGGGTGGTTGACACATCATCAGTGTGGCTTTGTTTATGCTGGAGTGAGCATTAGTCTCCGTTCTCTTCCAAACATTTCACAATAATTCATTGTGTTTGGTGCTTGTAGATTGAGTGTGACTGGAGTGGTAGAGGCAGTGGTAGAAGAAGTGGATGAGGCAGTGGGTGAGGCAGTGAGTGAGGCAGCGGGTGAGGCAGTGGGTGAGGCAGTGGGTGAGGCAGTGGTTGAGGCAGCGGTTGAGGCAGTGGGTGAGGCAGTGGGTGAGGCAATGATAGAGGCAGCAGTTGAGGCAGTGGTATTTAATAACATATATAATAATACATGTTATTATTAATAACATGTATTATTATTATTTATAACATATATGTTTAAGGGCAATGTGTGGTGTAAATATTATGCAGAAAATTCGAGTGTGGAAATTAGGAAAAGATGTGGAGTTAATAAAAGTATTAGTCAGAGGGCAGAAGAGGGGTTGTTGAGGTGGTTTGGTCATTTAGAGAGAATGGATCAAAGTAGAATGACATGGAAAGCATATAAATCTATAGGGGAAGGAAGGCGGGGTAGGAGTCGTCCTCAAAAGGGTTGGAGAGAGGGGGTAAAGGAGGTTTTGTGGGCAAGGGGCTTGGACTTCCAGCAAGCGTGCGTGAGCGTGTTTGATAGGAGTGAATGGAGACGTATGGTATTTGGACCTGACGATCTGTTGGAGTTTGTGAAGCAGCAGGTATTAATACAGTGGACCCCCGCCTTACGATCAGACTCCCAACTCGAAACAATTATGTAAGTGTATTTTTGTAGTGCTTTTGTATGTGTATTTTTGGGGCGTTCTGAACAGACTACTCTAATTTACAGTATTCCTTATGGAACCAAATTCGTAAAAAAATATTATAAACATTTATATTACTAATAATAAGTTAATCTCCGCGCCCATCCCAATGGAAATAAGTCAACTCTGTCTGACTTTTTGGGTTATCTAGGTTCTCTACAATATGCTGCTATGTATGGTAATTCTATGTAACTGTATTTGTGTATAACTAAATAAACTTACTTACTTACTGATGTCAGCTAGGCCTGTATACCTTGTACATGTATGTGTAGTAAATAAAGATATTATTATTATTATATTATTATTATTTTCACAGTTGTTTGTTGGGTTATCTTATTCAAACTTGGGCAATGTATGATGGAAAGATACTTCTTCACGTACACCAAAAATGAAAGAAATCAGATGATAAATAGAGCTCACAGTAGCGAAAATGTTCTATTCTTTAGCAAAGCTCAAGAGTAAACAAATGACGTCACCGTCCACTACATGTCCGCCTGCCTGTCCAAATTCCAGTACGGAGTCAAGAATTGGATTGACATTATTTATCATTTTTACAAAAATGCAGTAGTCTGCATGACAGTAAATATTTTATTTTTTTTTGTGAATAAAAATTCCAAATGGTAAGCAAGAGTAATATAAGAGGGGCCTGTAGCCGTGACTAATGAACAGAGAAAATGTTTTTTAGTGCCAGGGAATGTACATTGTTTATCTGATCCTATTTTTTGAAATTGACATATGTTGAATTGTGTGAAATCAGCCAAATTGGCCAATTTCTGACCTCTTTATTGGTTAGTTGAAATAAGTGGTTAATGGGGTGGTTTCTTGTACCCAGGTGACAGGACTAGATGTAAATAAGTTATTCAGGTATACAGGGAATACAGTTACTTAAGATTATCATTACCTAGCAGTGGTTATGTATAGGAGAACCTTCGGGATAAAAACCCGATAGTCAGACAAAGTGACTTAATTCCAGTACCTGGACTGGGTTGCAAAATTGTTTTTGGTAAATAATTTTTTGTCTCGGTGGTTTGTTGGGCTATCTCATTGAACTTGGCTGTGTATGATGGAAAGATGATTCTTTAACCTTCAGGGTCCAAGGGCCCAAATCTAAAGTGTGGTGCCCAGTGTCAAGAATTTTCAAAAAAAAATTTTTTACTTTTTTTTCTATGAAATGGTAGAGAATCTTTTTGTGAATGTAATAACACAAAAAGGTACGAACAATTTGATGAAAATTGACAAAATTTGCTCTCGCGAATTTGATGTATCAGGATATTGTCGAATCGGCGATTTTGCCGACTTGAACTCCCATTTTAGGCCAATTCACTTTTTCAGTCAACCAAAATTCTTAGCTATTTCATAGTATTACTTCTATTCTATCGATAATTGAGCACAAGAAATTGCCAAGTCAACTGGTTTCAACTACAAATTTATTTGATCGGAAATTGTTAATTTGGCAATTTATCCCTTTCAGGGTCCGTCAGTAGATCTACGGCTGGTCGGTGAGTGTCCAAACAGTTGATCTACCGGCCCCCCCACCCCCCCCTATATTTCTAGCGCGTAAATTAGCGCGAAAGCGCTCCATACGGCCCCTACATATCGAGAGAATGGGTCTGCGCGTGGGTGTGCGCATAAACAAAAAATCTAGCGCTGCATAGCATTGTGGGAACGCCGGCTCAGTCACCCTTGTTCACCATGTTTCCTCGTCGCAAGTCAGCTCATCCCCGGAAAATTTGGGACTCTCTTTCCTGTCTGATGTATCTGACACTGGATGGAAGTGGAAATGAAGTAGACGAATTTCTACGGCCTTCGATAAGTTAGTGGACCGAAATATGACCAAGGATATCGATAATAGTTGCGAAACACACGTCCTCGACCTGTTACCTCTGGTGTGGGCACTCGTGACTCACGGGTCGGGTGTTCCTAAACGTATAAGAGAAAATAATATTTTTCCCGTGGCCCTGGAACTCTGACTTCAGTAATGACGGATTCTGACGTGGATTGTGATTTTATGCGCTCCGACGATCATTCGAGTAGTGATAGTGAGGAAAACATATTCACCAGTGAAGCGTCGGTATGTTCGCCGCCGCATTGCGCTCGGGTAGTGTACCTATGCTGTGCCAGGGGACGGAGTTCATCCCGGAGTACATCCGGAGTACATCCCGTGGCCCTACACCCGTTTTAGGTTAGTGTGATAGTGAGGATGATGTGGCTACACTTGGCATGGATGGCCACAGACATCTGTGGATGGTGTTAGTGGGGCTGCGTGGTGGTAGTGCACCGCCATGCGTGACTCGCTGTGCCACGCGGACCACGCTGTGACTCGTCTCAGTTCAAGGACAAAGCGAAGCCTGTCACCCACAGCCCGCCACAACCACCGTACCAACAGCCTATGATGTCAGTATCCACCAGCAAACCGTATCTGGTAATGGCAGCAAAATCCAATTTTGTCCCTGCCCTCACCACTTTGCAGCCTCGCCCCCCCAAGTGGATTCTACCTACCTGTCCACTTAGGAATCCACGGCCAATGAACTGGGAATTCTTTGAATTATTCTTTGACCAGACATTGATTGGAAGAAATTATTGTCAGGGAAAGTAATAAGTATTTTTTTTTTTTTTTTTTTTTTCCGTTACACATGCAAATACGATCTTATCACTAAGTCAAGAATACACAGGTGGAAAGAGACGTCTGTTGCAGAAATGTATTTGAACTTTTTTGCAACAATAAGCTTGTGTCACGTCTATAAGCATAATATAAAAGCATACTGGTCCACAGATCGGCTAATTTTTACCCCATCCTTCAGTGAAATAATACCCATGTGAACAGGTTTATATTACTGTTACGTATGTTGCAATACTCTGACAAAAACCAGGCCTGACAGAAGTGACAGGGTATACATGATTAGAAATGTTTTCATGTATCTCAAACAAAAGTTCAGGATATATTTTTCCATCAAGAATCTTGTAATTGAACTGAGTCTTGATTTTTGTTCAAAAGGTTAGTTTAGACGTCATTCAAGCAGTAATATACCGAGCAAGAGGAACCGCTTTGGTATAAAAATTGTTGTTACTCATTGATTGTGGACAGTGGCTGGTGTTGGATATGTTGTATACACGGGTAGTTAGAAACATTGAAAGATACCAAGATGTTATTGGGTATATCAGTTGACGTAGTGAGAAACATGATGGCATTATCTTGGTAAGGGCCATACATTATATCACCGATAAACTGGTACACAAGCCATTACTCAGTGATTTCATGCGAGTGAAAAAGACAGATGTGTGTGGCCAGTGCGTTCTATTCGTAAACATATGCCAGGCTCAACGCAGGTGTTCGTGGTGATGTCGTGCAGGTGTTATGCCAATGACATCATGGCATTAACGGGTGGATGACAAACGAGATGTCCTTGTTGACAACCCCATTCACCGTCAATGAATGCAAAGGAAAGTGGCATAGGTGATCGAGTGACTAATGAACGTATACGAAAACCAGTGACAGTGATTGATTATACACAAACACATGCGCTGGTTGACTAGTGTGCATGCAGATTGGTTTTGTTGACTGTGTTGTAAGATTTCAAGTCGGTACATGAAACTTTTCTTTTCCATCTAATGGACATTTCAATGCTGAATGCCATATAATATGTACCAAATAAAGACTGGTAACAAGACCATCCGTCATGGGTGAATTTTGTTTTGTCTTGTGTCAGACAACTTATAATTGAAGTACCACGGTAACACACCTGCAATTACAACATGGTCCTCGAATTCATCACAATATACCAAGCGTTATGAGGAAAGAAGGTGTTCCATTTCATAATACCCAGCTTACTTCAACTCAAAAGAAATTTGCTAGAAAGAGATGGCATTGTTCTGTGCACAAACAAAACGACGGCAACTAAAGACGCAAAGACACTCGGTTTATGTGAGAGGTATAAGTAAGGTGCTTGTGCATGGTGCCTGTTTCAAGAGTTCCACAAGCTCCAGCAGTTCTAAAACCATGTCCGTGATTGTTAAATATGTAAATATATGATAGAACATTAGTTATTATACAATATTTTGTGCATGTTTATTGTAATAAACAAACAGTGTAAACAATAATATGATAATTAACTTTAGTGCGGTTATTGTGTCAATACAGTGAGTTTATATATATACATTATTACAGTATTGGTCTCTCAGGCCCCAAATGTTAGTAGGAATAGAAAAAATTGGAAAAAGAAAAGAAAAACAACTAAAACAACAAAATATATAATACGCGGTATGTGGAATTCAGTCGATGTTGCCGGCCACCACATCATTTCTACAAACTTCTTGGCACTGTATCTCGGTAAGTACTGATCAGAGTATAAATTTTTTTTGTTTTATTTCCTTCACAAAAAATATGCTCTTTTAATTTGTAAGAAAAAATAATTTTTTTTTTTTTCAAAATTTCTTGGACATGGTGTGTGACTTCAGTTTTTGTGCCTTGGACCATGAAAGGGTTAACACAAAGTTCATAAATATTCCACTTTCAAAATAGGTTCCAGAATAAACAATGTAGGTATTCCTGGAACTAAACTAACATTTCTCTGTTCCATTAGTTTCGTTGTGAGGCTTTACAATAATTCCATTTTGATTTTTTTTATTTCACATATTGAATTTTATTACACAAAAAAATAGAAGATTTACTGTTAAGCAATGCTGTAATAGTTGTATAAATCATCATATATTTGTGAATGCATATTAGACCCCCACCAGCTGAAGTGTAATAGACGTGTGAGGTCCGTTTTGTTTTACTATGAATAACGGGCAAAAATTTCCATTATGCTACTTTGCGTCAGTTTCAAGCCATTTCCAGTGTCTAAAAACCAATCAAAAATCATCTCTATTTCTCGTAATCTTGGTATTCCATTCTATAAATGAGGGACCAAGAAATCGCAAATAAACTATAAAAAACATACGAAAAAAACAAATTCGTGTTTAATCGGATAAATCATGATTTCAGTTTTTTGTTTTTCTCATTATTACCAGGTGTGCTGCGAGGATTGTTTTTATGTGGTGCACACATTACCTACATAGATGTATTCTCTCATATTCTAGGCCGAATGTACCACTCTCGTTTATCAGAGTGAGCTGAGCTCATGACGTAGAATCTACGGTTGGACCTGAACGTAAGCGTATATCTAAGGCACGGAACCCTGAAAGGGTTAATGTACAACAAAATAAAAATGACGGACTATAAATAAGGGAGTTCACTTCTCAGCCATTAGCCGCCTCTTTGCAGTATATTTTTTCGTGTGGTTTTTATGGTTGTATTCTCATTTTTTGGACTCACTTTGATATAATGGAAGATATATTACTGAAAGAGACATGATTTTATTGCTTTCAGGTCGAAAAAGTACTTGAAATTGAGCTCAAAGTAGCGGAAAACGTTCGATTTTTGCCGATGTTCAATGAAACTGTGTAAGTCAATGGGTAATGTTTATTAAGTGTATTCTAACTTAACACTCTGTAATTCGGCAATCAGTAATCCAGCACACTACAGGCCCTTAGGGTTGGGGCTCCCAATGATGCCGGATTTGTGATGGAGGACCTGTATGGCAAGCCCAGGCCAGGTACTGGAAATAAGTCACTTTGACTTTTTTAGGTTATCCTAGGTTCTCTATACATATGCTGCTATGTATTATAAATTATGTAATGTTTTGTGTTTACCTGATAAACTATTTACTTCTAGCCTGTCAACTGAGTACAAGAAACCGCCCATTCACTTATTTCAACTACCCAATAAAGTGGTCAGAAATTGGCAATTTGACTGATTTCACACAAATTTCAAAAGATGCCAATTTCAAAATAGGATCCAGAATAAACAATGCAGACACTCGTTACTTTTGAGCTTCGCTAAAGAATAGAACATTTCGGCTACTGTGAGCGTAATTTCAAGGTACTTTTCATCGTGGAAAGCAATCAAAATATATCTGTTTCTGGTAATATATCTTTCATTCTATGTATGGAGACCGAAAAAATGAAAATATAAACCATTAAAAACCATACAAAAATATACTGCTAAGCGGCCGCATAATGGCTTGAGAGTGAACTTCGCATTTGTGGGTCTGTTTTCTTTCGGATTTTTGGTATACGTTAAGAAGTATCTTTCCATCATACATTGTTCCAAGTTTGTAATAAGAAACACAACAAACAACTGAGAAAATAATATAATAAATAATATCCTTTATTTACTACACGTTCATGTTTACAGGTATACAGGCTAAGCTGACATCAGTGACATACTATACACTGTATGTAGAAGATGCTTGGTATGACAGAAGTATTTCAGAAAATTAGGTCAGTGTCCCCAGGATAACACCCACACCAGTCGAATAAACACTCAGGTAACCCATTTACTGATGGGTTAAAACATAGTCAAAGTGTTGTAAGAAAACACGCCTAATGTTTCTACCCTGGCTAGGTATCTCATATTTACCAAAAATCATATATGGCTAACCCAAAGCAGGGAATAGAAATAAGCCACATTGACTTTTTTGGGTTATACTAGGTTCTCTACACATATACTGCTACGTTGTGTTAATCCTATATAGAGAAAATAACTTTTTAGTTTCAGGTTTATGGTGCAGTACGGTTGTAATATCACAGGTCTAGCCCTGGATGCTATACTCCCGTTTCCCTAATATAAGCCCCCAGAGAGGGATAGGAGGAATGGTATTTGTTACCATATCTCCTTCTTACTTTGTCGAACTGCTCTGTGTTATGCCAAATATTATTTTATTCTGGAGTATTTAACATGTTTTATGTTATTTATTTTGTTTTATTATGTCATATTAGATCAGGTTGTGGATAGGGCAAATATAGCTGTAGTGTTGATATTAGCGTAATACATAAGCATATTATTCCGCATCATGAGACTGAGCTCTTGGCAACCGACAGTGGCTTCAAAGCTACCTTATCTTTAATGGATAATGTACTGTGTAGGTGCTTTACATAATGAGAAGCATTTCTTTATTCATTGCAACATTTGGCTTGGGCTAAAGTAAGAGGTTTATAACAATAAATGGAGGGAAAAAGATTGGAATGGACTTATACAGCAAGTAGCGCCATCAAACAGTACAGCTGGTTGGTGTGGCGACCTGGAATATGAAATTATGCTATCCAAAATTAGTGCCGAATAACTGGAAGGAACCGAATACTGATTACCTGATTTGTGGATGGGTCCTTCGTAGTCCCTTTATAAAAAGGGAAGGGGGCCAAAAGAGACTTGTAAAAATTATGAGGAATATGTTTACTGAGTCTTACAGGAAAGTGTATGGTCGGGTTATAATGAAAGAATTAGAGGTAAGACGGAATGTAGGAATTGCGGATTTAGCAAGGAGGTTTTAGAGTTGGGTAGGATGTGTAGATCAAGTGTTTACATTGGGAAGCATATAGTTAAATAAAAAAAAAAAAAAAAAAAAAACAGTTATTTAGATAAAGGTAGGGAAGCTTTTATTGCATTTATGGATTTAGAAAAGGCATTTTGATAGAGTGGATAGGGGATGCAATGTGGAGATGTTGCAAGTAAATGGAATAGGTGTAAGCTACTAAATGCTTGTAAAGAGATTTTATGAGGATAATGAAGCTTAGGTTAGGGTTGTGCTAGAAGAGGGGAGACTACTTCCCGGTTATAAAAGTGGTTCTTAGACCTGGATTTGTAATGTCACCATGGTGTTTTAATATATTTATAGATGGGGTTGTAAAAGAAGTAAATGCTAGTTAGTGTTCGGAGAGAGGGGGATTAAATTATGAGGAATTAAATTACAACTGGCGAATGACACAGTGCTTTTTGCTGATGATACTGTGCTTAGGGGAGATTCAAAAGGGAAAAATTGCAAAGGTTTATTGGAGAGTTTGGGACGGTGTGTGTGGGGTAGAAAGTTGAAAAGTGAAATAGAAAAGGTAAGGTGTTGAGGGTATCAAATGATTTAGATAAAGAAAAAATTAGATTCAAATTGGGGAGGAGGAGTATGGAAGAAGTGAATGCTTTTCAGATACTTGGGGTTGATGTGTCGGCGGTGGATTTATAGAAGGTTGTGGTTAATCATAGAATTGATGAGGGAAAAAAAAGGTGAGTGGGTGTGTTGAGGTATATGTGGAGACAAAAAAACGTTATTTATGGAGGCAAAGAAGGAAATGTACGAAAGTATAGTATGTACCAACACTCTTATATGGGTGTGAGAGATTGAGTTGTGAATGCCAGCAGCAAGAATGCGGTTGCAGGCAGTGGAGATTGTCCTTCTAAGGCAATGTGTGGTGTAAATATTATGCAGAAAATTCAGACTGTGGAAATTAGGAGAAGGTGTGGGGTTAATAAAAGTATTAGTCAGAGGGCTGAGGAGGGGTTGTTGAGGTGGTTGGTCATTTAGGAGATGGATCAACTGTAGAATGACATGGAGATCATTTAATATCTAGAGGAAGGATAGCCGGGGTCGGGGCCATCCTCGAAAAGTAGGAAGGAAGGGGTAAGGGAGGTTTGGGGCATGGGGCTTGGACTTCCATCAGTCGTGATGAGCGTGTTCGATAGGAGTGAATGGAGACGAATTGTATTTGGACCTGACGATCTGTTGGAGTAGTGAGGCTGGGGTAACTATTAGTGAAGAGATTCGGGAATTGTATTTTTATATAGCCGATCTTGAGGTCCTGGAAATTGGAAGTACAAGCCTGCACTGTATAGTTTTTTTTTTTTTTTTTTTTTTGGCAGGAGTTTGGGATATTGGCCTATTTGGAGGGATATGTTGTGTATCTTTATAAGTATATGCTTCTAAGCTGTTGTGTTCTGAGCACCTCTGCAAAAACAGTGATTATGTGTGAGTGAGGTGAAAGAGTTGAATGATGATGAGAGTGTTTTCTTTTTGGGGATTTTTTTTCTTTTTGGGTCACCCTGCCTCGATGGGAGACGGCCGACTTGTAAAAAAAAAAAATTATTTTTTTGATTTGCAGAGTGATCTTACTGTAGGAGGACCTTCTTTGAGACATGACCAGGATAAAAGAAGCCCTTGCCAAAGCTGAGGTTGAAATGAAGAATCTAAGGGAGAGTAACTTTAAACTTCAAGAGGAATTGGAGAAAGCAACTCAGAAGTTAAATATTTATTCAAAGGTATATGGTAATGTTATGCAGGTATTGACCAGTACCCCATTTAAATCTGGGTTGGAATTTGATCATTATTCGTTTAGAACCCCCAAAAGTTTAACAAAAAATATTTTTTTTTTAGGGGACTGATTATGAATGAGTGAGGTGAAAGTGTTGAATGATGATGAAAGTATTTTCTTTTTTGGGATTTTCTTTCTTTTTTGGTCACCCTGCCTCTGTGGGAGATGGCCGACTTGTTGAAAAGAAAAAAACTATTTTTTGCTTCAGGAGCTGAGCTTTGCTTCTTGTGTTTCACCTTCAGTGCATAATATTTTTGTTTACATTACAGTAGTTATTGTACATACTGTACTATATACAGTATGTACTTTCTCTTGGCTCATATTCCAGTATTATATCACTCTGCAAAGAAAAACTTTCTGTATATTTTTTTTACTTTTTTTTCCAAAGTTTTCAGTTGTGAACTCTTCCTTTCCCTGTTGATAGTATTAAGAAGTCTTCTTGAATATTTTTAAAAAAGAAGTTTGAGGTTGTCATTTTCCCTCTTATTCTTTTGTCAGCTAGTGATCACAATTTTAGTGTCTTCAGTTTTTTGTTTTTAAATAATTTTTATTTCTTCAAGCCATTTTGTAACATGTTCTTTATACACATATGTTGTGAATGCCATTTTATTGTTTCCTCATCTATATAGTACTATATCCGAAAGCTCTCATGAAGTTTGCCAATGTAGCATATGAGTTTTTTATAAACAGCGGAACCTTTGGTTACGAATGCCCCACCATGCGAATTTTTCAGGATACGAACAGTCGTTCGTTCGATTTTTTGCTTCTGGACACAAATGAAATTTCAGGATGTGAACTTCCTCCTCAAGGGAGGTTTCTTAAATAAATGTGAACTTCCTCCTCAAGGGAGGTTTCTTAAATAAATGTGAACATCCTCCTCAAGGGAGGTTTCTTAAATAAATGTGAACATCCTCCTCAAGGGAGGTTTCTTAAATAAATGTGAACTTCCTCCTCAAGGGAGGTTTCTTAAATAAATGTGAACTTCCTCCTCAAGGGAGGTTTCTTAAATAAATGTGAACATCCTCCTCAAGGGAGGTTCCTTAAATAAATAAATAAGTAAAATATTTATTTCTTTGCGAAGGTTACAATGGGTTTTTCTTTTTTTTTTAACAAGTTAGCCATCTTCCACCAAGGCAGGGTGACCCAAAAAGAAACAAAACCCCCAAAAAGAAAATACAGTGGACCCCCACCTTACGAACCCATCACATTACGTTAAATCCGCCATACGAATAATTTAAACTAAAAAATTTGCCTCGCCTCATGATAAAAAACTCTCCTATGTGATTGTCCAGGACCGCCGTTCATGTGTGCCTCAGTTGCCAGTGTTTACAAGCCAGCCAGTGCAGTTCGCATCTACGCATACATTCGGTACATTTCACATTATCCCAGTGTTTTTAGTGCTTGTAACTGCAAAATAAGTCACCATGGACCCCAAGAAAGTTTCTAGTGCCACCCTGTGGTAAAAAGGTGAGAATTAGTATGGGAATGAAAAAAAGAGATTAAGGAAGTGTGGTTGCAAAGTGGGTTGAACTGCCAAAACCTTTTACGGATGAAAAATCACCCTTGACACGCTACTGCAAGACGTGTTGGCAACCTGTACAGTGGCGACAGTGTTTATGCCCATTTTAGGAAGTCTTTAAAGGAACGGAGGTACAGAGCTTATGGACAGATTTGTTGTGCGACAGGCCAGTGGATCTCAAAGTCGGTCCTAGTGCATTATTACGAAGAAGGGAAGTAACCCGGGGAAAAGGACTTGCTACCTCAAGTTCTAATGGAAGGGGATTCCCTTTAAACAATAACTTCCACACTCTCCCCTACCTCCCATCCATCAATCATCACCAGATCTTCAATAAAGTTAAAGTGTTCATGTACTTCTATTTTAGTAGAGTAGTAATTGTGCATGTCTTCTTCAGTTTGTGTGTTTAAAATTAATATTTCATGTGGTAAAAAATTTTTTTTTTCATACTTTGGGGTGTTCAGGAATGGATTAATTTAATTTCCATTATTTCTTATTGGGAAACTAATTCGCTAACGATAATTTTGGCTTATTGATGTGCTTCTAGGAACGGATTAATATAGTAAGGCAGGGGTACACTGTGCTTTCACATCATTCAACACTTTCACCTCACTCATACATAATCACTGTTTTTGCAGAGGTGCCCAGAACACAAAGGTTTAGAAGCATATACGTATGAAGATACACAACATATCCCTCCAAACTACCAATATCCCAAACCCCTCCTTTAAAATGCAGGCATTGTACTTCCCATTTCCAGTACTTCAAGTTGGCTATATAAAAATAAACAAGTATCCCTGAATACCTGTCACCTAAATATTCCCTGCTCACACTCCAACAGCTCGTTTTTTTTTTTTCCCACCCCCAAAAAGTCCCCAATACTATTCGTCTCATTCACTCCTATCGAACACACTCATGCATGCTTGCTGGAAGTCCAAGCCCCTCACCCACAAAACCTCCTTTACCCCCTCCCTCCAACCTCTTTGAAGACTACCCCTACCCCGCCTTCCTTTCCCTACAGATTTATATACATACTCTCCATGTCATTCTACTTTGATCCATTCTCTCTAATTGACCAAACCACCTCAACAACCCCTCTTTAGCCCTCTGACTAATACTTTTATTAACTCCATTTTGGGCAGACTTAACATAATACTAATAGACTACTAAGTCTAGACAGGTGAAGAGTGTACTAGTAATGGTTACCAATGTTTTGCTGATGGTGGCACCAACTACTGGCAGCCTTTTGAAGTTTCTCCTTACTGTTATTATTATTATTATTTTTTTTAACAAGTCGGCCAACTCCCTCTGTGGCAGGGTGACCCAAAAAGAAAGAAAATCCCAAAAAAGAAAATACTTTCATCATCATTCAACACTTTTACCTCACTCACACATAATCACTGTTTTTGCGAAAGTGTCTGAAACAAACGGTTTTGAAGCATATTATGTTTATTATTATTTTTTTTTTTCAACAACGTCGGCCATTGTTTATTATTATGAATTATTTATTTTCATTTATTAGTATGTACGTGGTATGGGGATCTTGATCTAGGGAATTGGATCTGTGCTCCAGTTCCATAAATTAAGAATAATAATAATAATAATTATAATACATATGTATTAATAATAATAATAGTTATAATAATTATAATGTAGGTAGTAGGTTGGTAGACAGCAACCACCCAGGGAGGTACTACCGTCCTGCCAAGTGAAATGTAAAACAAAAGCTGTAATTGTTTTAACATGTGGTAGATTGCTGGTGGGTTTTTTTTGATCTGTTCATAAACTATTTATGCAAGATTACAGGTATGTCTTGCTACTTCTACTTACACTTAGGTCACACTAAACATACATGTACACGTTTATTTATACACACTCATATGAGTTTTCTTTGATTTTATCTTAAAAGTTCTGGTCTTATTACTTTTCCTTTTATATCCATGGGGAGTGGAATACAGAATCTTTCCTCCGGTAAGCCTTGCGTGTTGTAAAGTCAACTAAAATGAAGGGAACAATGGGCTAGTAACCCCTTTTCCTGCCTAAAGATTACTAAAAGAATAAGAAGAAAATTGTCAAAGTGGGAAGTCTGAATGTACAGTGGATGTTGTGCAAATGATAAAGAAAGAGGTGATTGTGTGGTTTGTTATGATGAAAGAAGCTCGACGTATGGCTTTAAGTGAAAACAAAGTGAAGGGGTGGGAGTGTTTCTGTGGAGAGGAATAAATGGGATTAGGTCAGGGGTTTCAATAGAGGTTAGAATGCTAAAGAAGGAAAGTAGCAATAAATGTTGAAGGATAAGATTATGGCAGGAAAGAGGATATATAAATGTACTTAATTCAAGGATTATGTGGAGGTAAAATGATGGTTGGATGTGAAAAGTGGGTTATAGTAAGTGTAATTTGCACCTGGAGAGAGAGAGTGTAGAGGAGAGAGAGAGATTTTGGGTAATGTTGTGTGACATGCAATGGGGAGTTTTGAGCAAGTGTGATGTAGTACTTGTGGTTGGGGATTTCAATGCTAAAGTGGGTAAAAATGTTTGTGGACGGGAAGTAGTAGGTAAATTGGGGTGCCAGGGGTAAATGTAATGGGGAGCCTTTAATTGGCTATGTGTAGAAAGAGATTTGGAAATAAACTGTAATAGTATTTTATGACAAGAGGATAAATAAATATACAAGGTATGATGTAGGCCGGTAATGAAAGTATGTAAAGTAAAGGGACACAAGTGCAACTAATGTGGAATTTTATTGTGATCAACAATTTCTCCTCCAGGAGCTTTATAAAGCCATTAATGGCCTTGATAAAGCTCTGGAGAGCGGAACGTTGCCACAATAAAATGTCAATTAGTTGAACTTGTGGTCCTTTTTTACTTTTACATATTGTCGGTAATTTTTACCATCATTATTGTAAATGAAAAGTAGTTTGTTAGATTATGTATGGTGGCATAAAGGTTAATGGGTAGGCTCCGGATGTACTGGTTTATTGAGGGGCAACTGATATATGTGATCATTATTTAGTTGTGCTACAGTTAGCGTAAGAGGTAGATTGGACAAGAGGGAAGGTCGGCAAACATCAAGTAGGAACGGAAGTGAAAGTGTATAAACTGAGGGAGGAGGAAGTTGGGCAGAGATTTAAGCGACTATTGCTGAAAGGTGGGCTAGTGCCAAGATGAGTAGTGGGGGGGGTTGAGAGGGTTGGATTGAGTTTTAAAAATGCAGTATTAGAATGTGGGGGGCAGAAGTTTGTGGTTATAGGAGGGTCTGGGGCAGGAGGAAGGAAAAGAGGAGTGATTGGTGGGAATGATGAAGTAAAGGGTATGTGATAAAGAGGAGAAAAAAGTTAGTTTATGAGAGGTTTTTTACAAAGCAGAAGTTGTTATAAGAAGGGAAATAAAAAAATAGGGCAGAGTATATGGGAGTAAAAGAAAGGTGAAG